AGAGATTTTAAAAGAATGAAATTGAAAACAATAATAATGGGTCATGGCTGAGTACAAATATAATGACATGGAAAACTTTGACAGTATCAAAATGTCTAAACTATTCTGGGGCGGTGAAGTTACCAATAATCTAAATTAAAATGTAAAATCAGAATGTCTTTTTTTAGATCATTTAAGACATTTTCCAAATTGAATTTTTTTGAAATGACCAAGGAAGAAATTATTGTGATAGTAAGAAAAAGTTAAGTACATAGATTGTACGATTTAGAATTAAATTGGAGAATTGATTTAATAAAGATAAAAAGACAATGAAGGGTAAATCAGATAGCAGACAGAAGAACTGACTAGAAGAGGAATAAGAGCAACAGAAGAAAGTATAGAAAGTTACCGAAAGGAGCTCAGGCGGAGGACCAGAAGAAAACAGCAGTGAACAGTAAAGCAAAGAAAAAAGAAACTACGAGTAGAAAGTAAAAATTATTTTTTTTAACTTTAATTTGGCCCTGTTCTATTATCTTATGTCTCCTTTTGTCTTATTTGGACCTATTGAGACATCTCGTTTTCCGATTGCTGAGAATATTCGATGGAATAGGTCAACGTCCGAAGCCCCTCGGATTATCTGTCCATGGTAGACATTGTCAATGACAATGCACTGGAGTGACTCTAGGGGCCCAGCATTTTAGTTTTCATCTCACTTGAGAGTATTTAAAATAATGATTTTTAATTTTAATCTAAACAATCCAAAATCACCAGATTGTGAACAAAACAATAATATTATAAAACAGAAAATGGTTATTATAAATATTCTTGAGTGAAATAAGCAATAAAAATGTATGCGCCAATATAGTCGAACCTAGTCATATAAAAATGCATATTGGCATTCTACTCTACTCTAGTTCATTGGTCAATGATCTTTAACAGTTGACTTCTACAATTTGGTGAACACGCCATTCCAGGAAGTTCTCGACCCCGATGAATCATCTCGAAATTGAAATTGCGTTTACTTTGGTGCAGCCTAAGAAATGGTTGACAATGTATAGAATTTTCGAGAACAATAATTCTAGCGAAGGCATCGCAGTCGTAACAAATATATGTTGTTAAAGTTAACTATTATACAAAAAATACAGGGTGAAGCACCGAAAATGAAACAGATCGCATATCTTGAAGACACATTTACTTTTAGAGAAAATGCAAAAAAAGGTCGATTTTTATGTTAAAGGGGACATCTTTCGATCATATACTCAACTATCCTACATTCCTCCCCACCCCTCTGTCACTATTTCCAATGAAATTGAAATATGGTAAGTACTAAGTGTGACACATCATTGAAAAGGTAATTTTATAAGAAATTTGCACATACTTTGATTACTATACGGGGCAAGAGAGACACGCCCCACATAGGGCGTGGCCATTTTGAACCCTATCACACAGTTTATAGCTAAAGAATCAGATCGCTCACTCTGCGTCGGCACTTTTTATCTCAATGTTCCAGTTTATACACTGCGCAACTCAGATAATACAGTAAATGACTATCGCCTATAATAAAACAGCAATCTTCTGCGTATCCTAAATTTGTATCCCTGGAGTGGATGTTATTTTGGAACTTTCAACTGGTCCGAGTGAACTAACTGATTCTTTACCAAAAAAAATGTGTCTTCAAGATATGAGATCTGTTTCGTTTTCGGTGCCTCACCCTGTATATATATTATGTACAAACGAGTATTTTAAATTAATTTATAAATAATTGTCCTAAATTAAATTAAAATTAATAATCTGTTTAAATAAATAGTAATATAATTTCGTGGGCTTACAAGCAAAAGGCACTAAGTCATAAATTTGTCAAAATGGGTTTATATTTTTGTATATCATGTAAAAACAGTACATTGTCTTCCGAAAGCATGTACATTTTCTTTGAAGCAGTTGATAATCTCTAAAAAAAAAAAAAAAACACTGAAAATGAGACAGACTTATTAGTATTGGTAATGTGAAATATGATTTATTTTAACCTTCATAAGTCCGATTCTAATAACTTACGTTCATGACAAAGTGAGGTATACCTGTACCCCAAAGTTTTTTTCGTCAGTTTTGATTAAATATACAATTAAATGCATTTAGAAAGTAAACTTAATTAAAATCTCAAGTTTAAATGAGTTGTATTTATTGTAATATAAAAAATCTGATGTGTCCAACACATGACTTTCCTATCTAGTTATTATAGGCATTTTTCGGTTATTTTGTACAACCTATTGCAGCATCTCTATAAATGTTTAGAGGATAAACTAAATATATACATTTTACACATACATTTACCTCGAAACATTTTTCTATAGATATTCATGGAAAACGAAAATACTGAAAAATTTAAATTTCCTACAATTTTTTCATTACGGTCCATTTTATAAAAATCATGTATAAACAAAACTTATAGAGATCGATATCGCAAACAACTTTTATTTCAAAAACTTTCATAAAAATCAGAATTTTGCACATTTTGTCAAATTTCTCGAATACGGACCATTTCAGGAAATTTTTACAAAAAAAAAATTATAGATAATAATATTAGAAGTAACTTTTATTTGAACAATTTTTTTCTCCAAACATTAATAACAGATATATTCCATAAAATATAAAAGTGGCCTCCCATAAAGTACCCCCCCAGATGTTCCGACTGTGTCCAAAATCTAATCATTTCACATCAGGCCGAAATAAACCCTAAGTTTAAAATTTTGTTTTTTTCTTTATCCGTTTTTGAGTTTTCTTCAAAATTCGAAATTTACACATTTTCTCAAATATCTCGAATACGGTCCATTTTAGAGAAATTATGTATAGAATAAAAATTAAAGAGAATTATATCTTAAACAACTTTTATTTGAACAATTTTTTTAAAAAATTATTTTTTTTACATTTTGTCAAATTTCTCGAATACGGACCATTTTAGGAAAATTTTGCATAAAACAAAAATTATAGATAATTATATTAAAAGTAACTTTTATTTAAAGAATTTTCTTCTCCAAACGTAAATAACAGATATATTCCATAAAATATAAAAATGACCTCCTATAAAGTACCCCCCCAGATGTTCCGACTCTGCCCAAAATCTAATCAGCTTATTGGACGCTGAAACAAAGCTTAAGTTTAAAATTTGGTGTTTTTTTGTGTATCGGTTCATGAGTTATGCGTTATACACACACACACACACACACACACACACACAGACACACACACACAGACACACACACACACACACACACACACACACACACACACACACACACACACACACACACACACACACACACACACACACACACACACACAGACACACACACACACACACAGACAGATATCATCGCGAAAATAGTCAAAACGGATTCAGGGGACCTCAAAACGTAAAAATCCGTCGAAAACTCGAGGTCGAAAAAAATCATGATTCCTATACTTTCCTTATATCTGTTTACAGATAGGAAAGTAAAAATGTAATTACTAACATTTATTACAAATGTAGTGAGCTTTTGAATGCTCTTTACAGACGTTTTTATTGCACTTGAAGCACCGATTCCGACTCTACTTATCTCTTTTTTTGTCACAAATATGACATCTGCCAATTTAAGGCATAGCAGAATCAGGATTTACGGGTTCTTGAGTAACTAGTTCCGGGACGACGAGCTCCATGTTTCTCTTAATGTCCAATTGCAAATTTTTATTAGTGGTATACCTTCGTATTATGTTCCTCTTCCCCAATTCCTTTCCCAATTCTAATTAAAAGATTTTTCTATTATCCAGGTTCTTCTTTTTCCAATCTGGGTATTTGTTCATCCAGAGTTTTAAGGAGTTGATTCCACCAGTATCTACAAGATGGTAAAATATTGCCATTGGCCAACGGTTTGACTTTCGTTGGGTCGTGTACTCTGTCGCCAATTTATCGCTGGTGTCCACAACACCTTTAGTCTTATTATAATGTAAAATAATGTGGGGTTTATGGTTAACATTTTCTTCTTCAATTTGGTCGTCTTTGTGCTCAGTAGATAACAAAATGACAGCAGCTTTCTTTTTCGGGGCATACAAAACCATATTTTTTTTATCTCTCATAAATGCAAACATACTTAAGAATTCTTTTTTGTATGTAACAGGAAGCAATTCCTTCGGTATAAATTTTATGTTTTTTCTCAAAGTACCACACAATGAAAGATTCTTTTGTAGAATTTTATCAGCTAATTCTAAACTTGTGAAGAAGTTGTCTGTAGTTATTTCGTGGCCTTGAGGTAAATGTTTTATTAAATCCAGAACAACTCTTTGACCCTGACCCTTTTCATCTATGTTGCCTACCTTATCTAGAAAAAGTAATGACCGTGAAAATGTGTATTTGGAGTGCAACGTAAAATAAACTTACCTAAATATACTTGCATATTGACGGTATACGCTGTACAACAATCTGCCAGTGCCCCAATTTTTAAACCATATTTGTCAGGTTTACTCTTCATGTACTCGTATACTCTAAATGGAGCTCTTTCGCGAAAAGGAACTAACTGTTCATCGACACATAAGTGCTTTTCTGGATTGTATGCATTTTTGCAGTTATTGACGAAATTATCAAAAACATCTCGGATTGGGGCCAATTTGTCCGTTGCTCTCCTTTCTGCTCTAGTCTCGAAGGTATCAAAACATAGAAAGCATAACATCTGCTTGAATCTATTTCGAGACATTACAGCGGATATTACTGGCCAACCAAATACAGGATTCTGGCTCTAAAGCTTTGAGCTATGAAGAGCCCCCAAAATAAACAATAGACCGATAAAAGCATTAATTTCCTCTTTAACAATAGGCACAAATTGTACATTTTTATTTTTATACCATGCTTGGGCTTTTTTGTTTGTTTCAGTGATAATTGTATTTTTCATTTCCTCATCAAAAAATACACACTAGTGAAACTTGAACTCTAGGGCATTAGTCCAGCTGCTACCTTTTGAATATTATGTTTTGCCCGTTTGACCCGTAAGTTATACGGAGTTTTAGACCACAAATTTCCATCTTTCGCTTTATATACATGTTGATCACATAACACATCGTTAGTTCCGGCCAAATCCTCCAAATCATTACTGTCAGGATATTTGTTGTCTGTTATGATATCACCCACTTCCTCCACTTCTGTCACAAAATCATGTTCTTCATTATCACAGGCACTCTCATCTAATACACTATCTATAAAAAAATCATCTGATTCTAATATTTGTAAGAGTTGTGCTTCAGCGAGTCCTTTTTTTGCAGTCATATTTAACGTAAAATGAATACTGTTCTTTAATATAAAAGCACTACTTGCTCCGAATAATAACAAACAACTGACTTTGCCCGTCGACCCGATAACAGTCAGTGGCAGGTATCAAGAATGACGACACGAAATACGAAAAATGTTACTAGGCGGGGTACACGCATACCCCACTCGAACTCTTTTGGTGGTCTTTTTTTGCATACATAGAAAACCAACTGGGGTACAGAAAAACCTTATGTCAAAAATTATGTCGAAAATCTAAAACTAAAGGCAGGAACAGCATAAACAATTTTTATAATTGCAGCTACCACAATGATTTGAAGATGGAATAATGGAGAAATTGATACAAATTTTTTCCATCAAGTTACACAGAAAAACATCACCCTGGGGTACACTTGTACCCCACTTGGTCTTATAAAGGTTAATAGCAATAAAAACAACATTGAGAAAAAATGGGGATATCTAATAAGAATAAGATGACCAACGATGGAAACCTACTAGACTAATCAAGACATTTATAATTAAGCCCTTCAAATTCGTGTCAACGTGTTGTCATTCGTTGTACTCATTTGAATTTAGGTATTAATTTTGCTTTTCTAGTTTATTTATTATCCTATTTTGTGTAGTTCGTTTGTGTTTCGTGGGGTCCTGTTATCATCTCACGGTTTTTTCAATTTATTTTTAATTTACATATATATTGTTTTACTGATAGTGTATTACTCTAGTGAAAAACACCGGTAAGTCAATTTTTTATGATTTCACAAACGGGCGACCCACTTGGGTCGCCCCAAGAGCAGATTATGACTATAGAATCAAATCAGGTATACGATTTTGATAACAAATTTACTAATCAAGATTTAGGCCCTTATATTGTTTTTGTTGAACATCTAGACAAAAATATTGGTAGATTATTTCCAATTCGTGTAGGTCATTATTTCCTTTCCGAATCTACAATTAAAAAAGACATTTTGGACATAAAATCAGTAGGTAGAAATAGAGTTAAAGTAATTTTTAATACTTACTTAATTGCAAATTCTCTTATTAACCATGATTGTATTAAACGTAATAATCTTATCGCTTATGTCTCAAAATTTTTTACTTAAAAAAAAGGTGTTATTCGTGAAGTTGATACATTTTTTGACGAAGCTTGTCTTAAATCGTCCATTGAATCTAATAAGGAAGTCGTTAACGTGCAGAGAATAAAAAGAAAAATCATAGATTCAGATGGTAATGTGCAATATGTTCCACGTCAAATGATCATTGTGACCTTTTTAGGCAACTCAATTCCCCAGTCGGTCAAAATAAATTTATCACACTTCCCTGTCGAAAAATATATTCATCCAGTAATCCAATGTATGCGTTGTTTGAGATACGGACATACATCCAAATTATGCAAGGCTAAAGAAGCTAGATGCAAAATTTGTACATCGGTTCATGAGGAAAATATCACCTGTAATGCAAATAATATTTTCTGCTTATATTGCAAAGTCAATAGTCATTCCTCCATGTCCAAAGATTGTCCCTACTACATGCAACAGAGAAAAATTAAAGAAAAAATGGCAAATAACCTATCATTTAAAGATGCTGAAGCTTTAGTCAATAATCCCTCTTATTCAAAAGTAGTTACTAATAATAGATTTGACGTATTGAATGATTTAAAAAATTTTCTTCCTTTACCATCTTCTTCGTTTCCCAATTTTCCATCTACCAACTCTTCTATTAGGAAACCAAAATCTAATAATACAACCCAAAAAAAACGAAAAGCAGCATCTTCCAAATTTGTAAATAATGTATTTTTATCATATCCTTCTTTATCCAAAATTAATGATAATCAAAATATAATTTCTAACCTTAATTCTGATAATAGGGTATTTATTTCAAATTTACTTAATTTTGAAAATGAAACAGAACTAATGGAAATTAATAGCGACAGTGAATCGTCTTTCTAACGAAAATACACTTACAATTATACAATGGAATTCAAGATCTTTAAATAAAAATAAACCTAATCTTCTTAAATTAATTAAAAAAAAAGATGTAGATATTATCATAATATCTGAGACTTGGTTTAAAAATGGCCAAAACAATTCTATTAACGGATATTCATTAATTTCAAAAAATCGCGCAGATGGGTATGGTGGCGTAGCTATATTTGTTTCCAATAAAATAACCTTTAAGCAATTACAAATTAATCAAAATTATAACAATAAAATTGAAGCATGTGCTGTTCAACTGGAAAAATCTAAAATTTCCATAATATCGCTATACAATGATTCGAAAAACATTTCAACTACTGACTGGGAAAACCTCTTCTCTCAATTCAACTCACCGGTATTAATCTGTGGAGATTTTAATTGTCACCATTCCTTATGGGGTAGTATTAGTAATGATCGAAGTGGTTTAGGTCTAGTTGAAGCTCTAAATAACCTAAATTTAATTGTTTTAAATGATGGCTCTCCCACACGAATTTCTGCTCCGAACACTCCTCCTTCTGCTTTAGACCTTGCTATATCTTCGCCAATATTAGCACCTAAATGTAAATGGAAAACAATTTCTGATACTATGGGTTCTGATCATCTTCCTATCTTAATAACTATTACAAATAATTTCGATAAACAGAAGGTGTATCCTTCAAATATTTGGAACGGAAAAAAGGCTAACTGGATTTTCTTTAACTCATATTTGGACAATATTTTTACTTCTTCATCATCTGAATCCACTTCATTCCCAAATTTCATTGAATCTGTCACGGCAGCTGCAGATTTATTTATGCCCAGAAACAATCCTTTTACTCCTTCAAGGTTCCTTCCAGCATGGTGGGACTCTGACTGTTCCGATTTAGTTGAGAGTAGAAAGATAGCTTTATGCAACTATAGTCACACATCGAATTTTGACAATTTTATTTTTTATAAAAATCTGCAGGCCAAAATTAAGCTGATATTCAAACAAAAAGCACAGAACACCTGGACAAAATAGTAGTTTAAACAAAAATACTCCAATATCTTCAGTATGGAGATATATTAAAAGTATTTCAAACAAAAATAAATATAATAAAAAAACTGTTCTTGCTCCAGATCTAATAGAAAAATTATTTGACCATATTGCTCCTCCATTTGTTGATCCAAGTTTTATTCCTCAGCTGGTAAATAATAGGGAATTGGGAAATAAAAATAATCTTTATTCTAAAATAACTTTAACTGAATTAGAATTAGCAATTAAAACCACTTGTAACACAGCTCCTGGAAAAGATAGCTTTTCTTATTCTTTGATTAGAAATTTACCAGACAATTCAAAAAGTGTCTTAGTTGAAATTTATAATCAATGGTGGTTACAAGGACTTCTTCCTGAATCTTTTAAAGAAGTGGTAATTATATTTATTATTAAACAAATGACAAACCCTAGCGATCCATCGTCTTACCGTCCAATTTCTCTGTTATCGTGTTTTGCTAAAACTTTTAAGAGAATTATTAAACGAATGGTATTTTGAACATAACTCTCTGTTACCTAGTTCCCAGTACGGATTTCGTAAGTCTAAAGGTACTTTAGACGCCTGTACTCAGTTAGTTAATGATATTCAGTATTCATTCTCAAAAAATGAATACACAGCATGTATTTTTTTAGATCTTAAAGGGGCATATAACGCAGTTGATTTGAACATCTTACAAACAAAACTCTCCTATTACGGTTTTGATACAAACGCCTCTGCCAACATTATTGAGTTATTTAGAAACAGAAAAGTATATATCAGGGATCACTATAACCTTCTGCATGGCCCTAGAATTGTCAACCAGGGTATTCCTCAAGGATCCGTTCTGAGTCCCCTTCTTTTCAATATTTACACGGCAAGCTTGCATGAGATCTTTGATCAACTGATTAAGTGTATTCAGTACGCGGATGATGTATGTATAGTCTTATCACGATTGTGTTGTAGATCTTATATATGTCATATATTGCCTTACAAGCTGGTTATTTGATCATGGTTTCGCTTTGGCTGCAAATAAATCAACTGTGATGGTTTATATCCATCACAGGCTGATAACAGGAGAAGTCATTAAGTTTAATTCAATATCTCTTCCAATAGTAAGTTCCTTCAAATACTTAAGAATTGTCTTAGACAATAAGCTTACATGGAAAAAACATATTGATTATACTTTATCCAAATGTGAAAGAGTCATTAATATTCTTAAATGTGTCACAAAATTTAAATGGGGTGCAGACACAACAACGTCGTTAATGTTTTATAGATCTTACATCCGATCAATTATCGACTATGGGTGCATATTATATGGATCAGCTGCGAACTCAAGCCTTAAGTTATTAGATTGTATGCAAGTTAAAGCAGTCAAAATATGTCTCGGTGCTTTTAAATCTTCCCCTACTCCAGCGGTTCTTGCGGAAGCACAAGAGCCTCCTCTTCACTTACGAAGACATTTTCTAGCATGCAAAAAGTTAGTTACATTTATAATGTTTTCGGAAAAAATTCTGAATACTTCCTTTATCCTGAATATTGAAAACTTAACCAACAAATATTGGAAATTTAAAAATAGTCCACCTTTGGCTGAAGCCTGTGTAACTTTAAACCACTTTTTAAATAAAATTGAGTCTTGCGATATTCTTCCTATATACCAGTTTAATTTTTTCTCCTTATTGTTCAAGCCAACAATCTTATTCCCTGAGTTTACTTCTTCCCCTAAAATTAATAACATAATCATAAAATCGGTATTGGGAACGCTAGATACAGTTAATACTATTTTTTGCGATGGGTCTAAAGGAAAACAAGGTACAGGATGCGCTTTTTATGTGGAAAATGAAAACTTTATTTCCCAATTTCATTTACCAAATTATTCATCTGTTTATACAGCGGAGGCTTTTGCAATTTTACAAGCACTTAATTGGATAAAAAGCTATGGAGAAAGCAAATCGGTTATTCTTTCAGACTCGAAATCTGTTTTACTTTCAATTTCTAACTATTCCTGTAATATTAACAAAAATCCTATTATAAG